TATGTACAGGCACGAACAGACCAAAACATGGCTCAAGAAGAACTCAAAGCCCCAGAGCCCATAACTCTTTAAGTGTCCAAGAAATACCCAAACTTTCAGATGCACAGTTCAAAACACTGATGATCAGGATGCTCACGGAACTGGTTGATTTTAGTCACAAATTAGAGGAACAAATGAAGGCTAAACTAATTGAAATGAAGGGAAATGCTCAGGAAACCAATAGTGATGGAAAGGAAACTGGGACTCAAATCAAAGAAGTAGATCAGAAGGAGGAAAAAAACGACCAAACAGAAAAGGATGAAGAAACAAGAATTCCAAAACATGAGGAGAGGCTAAGGAACCTCCAGGACATCTTTAAATGTTCCAACATCCAAATTATAGGGGTACCAGAAGGGGAAGAGGAAGAACCACGAGTGGAAAACTTATTTGAACAAATAATAAAGGAGAATTTCCCCAATCTGGCAAAGGCAATAGACTTCCAGGAAGTCCAGGAAGCTCAGAGAGTCCCAAAGAAGTTGGACCCAAGAAGGAACACATCAAGGCACATCATCATTACATTAGGCAAGATTAAAATGAGAGAATCCTAGAAGCAACGAGAGATAAGGGGACAGTCACCTACAAAGGAGTTCCCATCAGACTGTCAGCGGATTTCTCAAAAGAGACCTTCCAGGCAAGAAGGGACTGGAAAGAAGTATTCCAAGTCATGAAATCCAAAGAACTACATCCAAGATTGCTCTATTCAGCAAAGCTTTCATTTAGAATGGAAGGGCAGATAAAAGTGCTTCTCAGATAAGATCAAATTCAAGGAGTTCATCATCACCAGGCCCTAATTATATGAAATGTTAAAGGGGCTTATCTAAGAAAAAGAAGATAAAGAAACATGAACAGTGAAAGGACAGCAAACTCGCAGTTATTAACAACCACACCTAAAACAAAAGCAAACTAAGAGGACAGCTAGATCAGGAGTGGAACCATAGAAATGAAGACCACATGGAGGGTTAGCAACAGGGGAGTGGGCTTAGGAGAAGGGGGGAGAAGGTACAGAGAATAAGTAGCATAGACAGTAGGTAGAAAATAGATAGGGAGAGGGCAAGAATAGTATGGGAAATATAGAATCTAAAGAACTTGAGACACATGGTCATAAACTAAAGGGGAATGGTGGGGGAGGAGGCGTGCAGGGTGGAGGGGAATGAAGGGGGGAAATAGAACAACTGTAATGGTATAATCAATAAAATATATATTTACAAATCACACACACATTGAGAGAAACACTGTTTTCCAGTCTCCATGTTTGCAATGTGTGCAAGACACTTCTGAGCAAAATTGTATCCATGTGTATGTTAAAAACTGACACAGTGGGGGTGAGCTGGGATGGGAATAAAAGACAGAAAACTGTACTTGGGCAATAATTGAATTAAAAAAAAAACTGACACAGTGGAACAAATGTAACCTTGTTTCCATTTCAATATGTAATGCAAATGTATGATATTTCATTAAGATATAGACCTTTATTACATTAACTTTCTGATATCAAAGAAAAAAAAAGATGATGTTTGAAATGAGTCCTGAAGTATGAGGGGGATTTAGTCAATGCAGTGAGCTAGTTTCATATGTTTAGGCTTAGCATTTCAGTCAGAGGGAACAAGAGTTCCTGGCTTTGTCAAGGGAAAGGCTTTGTCAAGTTCAAGAAACAAAAATGGTCAGGGTGACTAGAGGAGGGGAAGGAAGACGACTTCTAGAAAATCAGATTAAAGAGCTGTAAGAGTTATAGCTCTTATTAAAGGGCCAGATCATAGAGTTTTGAGGAGCATGTCAAATGTTCTTTATTTAACTAGAATTATGGAAAGCCACCAGAGGACTTGAGGTGGTAAAGGGATTTAATATAATGTAATTGAGCAAGATCACTGTAGTTGATATGTGGATGGAAAACAGATTGGAGGTAGACAAAAGAAGCAGGGATAATTGGGATATCACTTTAGAGGATCAGTAGTTTAGGGTGTCATAATACAGAATGGATGGACTTGTAGATTTAATTTGGAGGTAGGGTTGATAGAACTTGCTTATGATTTAGATGTTGGGGTTGAAGGCAGGTTCGGGGCACAGATTTATACAAAGCCTCATTTTGGGATTTGTCCAACTCAGTGCTTGGAGTTACCATTTATTGAAATAAAAAAGATTGGGAGAGGGTCAGATTTCTGACGAGAATCATCAAGACCTATGTTTTTTTTTAATATTTTATTAGGTTTATTATTCTTTTACTTATTTATTTTTCAAGAGAGGGGAAGGGAAGGAGAAAGAGTAGGAGAGAAGTATCAATGTGTGGTTGCCTCTCATGCGTCCCCTGCCGGGCACTGGCCTGCAACCCAGGCATGTGCCCTGACTGGAAATCGAACCGCGATACTCTGGTTCACAGGCCCGCGCTCAATCCACTGAGCTACGCCAGCCAGGGCAAGACCTATGTTTTATATGTAATAAATTTGAGGTGCCAGTTAAACACCCAAGGTCCAAGATATATCAGTCAGGTCGCTGTACAGGAGTTTGACTGATATTCAGACCAGAGGGTTGGAGCAGAGATGTAAATTTGGGTCATCGCTTGATGTATATTTGAAAAGAAGTAGGGGAGCCCTGGCTGGTGTGGTTCAGTGGGTTGAGCACTGGACTGCAAACCAACAGGTTGCTGGTTTGATTCCCAGTCAGGGCACATGTGTGGTTTGTGGGCCAGGTCCCCAGTTGGAGCCATGTGAGAGGCATCCAATCTGTTTCTCTCACACATCAATGTTTCTCTCCCTCTCCTTCTCCCTCCCTCCCTCTATCTTTAAAAATAAATAAAATCCTTTAAAAAAGAAAAGAGAAGGACTAGTGGGGAGAGTATAGAGATAGAGAAGGGAGTATTATCCAGAATTGAAGTCTGGGGCATTCCAGCATGTATAGGATTCAGGTAGGAGAGGAGGAAGGGGAAGAACCAGGAAGTCGTTTTAACAAGCCAGGAAAGTAGAGTGTTTCAAGGAGGGAGAGGTAAACTGTGTAAAGGCTGCTGAGTGGTTGAGGAACAAGACATTTGTGAAGAGTCTGTTGGGTTTGGCCATCAATTATTGGTAATTTTGATGATCAGTTTTAGTAGAGATGTAGGAAGAAAACCCAGATTAGAGCAAGTGGCAATGTAAATAGCAGGATGGTGAGTGAAGATAGTGTGTTCATAGTTTTACTCTGAATGGGAGCAGGGAGGTAGCATGGTAATTTAAGACTGTGGAGTCAAAATAGTGTTGATATGCTGATGGGAATAATATAATCAAAGGGAGAGATGTATGATGCAGGCTAGAGCTAGTGGTATAAGTATGGAAGTTGAAGCTTTTGAAAAGGCAGGTGGGATCTGGAGCTTAAGTTTAATAGGAGCAGGAACACTGTCATCTATTATAAGAGAGGGGAAAGCAGAGAGTGTAGATTAGGTGCAGGTTGGTGTGTAGAGCTGATGTTGGGAAGATTTTTTGAACGTCTATATTCTCAGTGAAGAATAAAGTGGGAATACCAGCTGAGGATGGTTGTGTGTGCATGAGTGCAGACACACATGTGCACCCTTGTGGCCAGTAAACAGAGATATGAGACACAAAGGGATTCTTCCTGACCAAGTCTTAGAGGAGGTGGAAGATAAGTTTAAGCTATGGCCCTAAATACTTAGATCCTTGTTAAATGTAAGGGGTGGGGCAGGGCAGGGCTTCCTCAGGCAGCTGGCATTGAGCGATACTCTGCCAGGAGAAAGAATTTCTCCCCTGTGTTGTAGGATTGTGGTAATGATTTGAATGAAATACTACTGAAGGAGTAACACAGGGCCAGACACATGGTTAAGTGCTCAGTAAATATGAGTGATTAACTATTAATAATTTGCTTGGGAAGACTGGGGTTTACAGAAGATAAGTGTTTTTCTTAGCGCTCTAAAAGGTGTCTAAGACAAATCAAAGACGGAGTGAGCGAAGTTCTGAGAGCATGCCCTTCTCATGAGCCTTGCTAGGATCTTGGACTATGAGACTGATGTGCTCATCTTGTCTGGAGTAGAGCAGTCCACTAACTCCTTCCTCCCCCATCTTGATATAGCTCCTGGATTATACCTAACCCTCCTCCCCCCACACACCCGGAGAGACTTGTCGTGCACAGCCCACATTCCATACTTCCCTTTGTTCATATTACTCTTGTTCCTACCTCTATTCACTGAACTGAAATGGCTGCTGTTGGTAAAACCTGCCTCCACTCCCCTCCCCCATTGCCATGAATGTCTTCTCTTTAGTCAAGACGAATGGTTGTGGCTTGGGTCAGTTCCAGGGGTCTTTGTGAGGATATCATTCTTCAGTCAGGTTCCTGAGGTTATATCCATATTGGTTCCTTTCCTCCCTCTCCTTAGAGGCTAACTATGGAAGGTGGCTAACCTTGATTCTAATCTTTGGTATCTTAAATCCATTCCTTTGTCAGGTTGATGCATACCTTCTGCATCTACTCCATGCTCATGGGTTGGTCTCAAAGATGTGAATTTATTCAGCCTGTTTTCGTGAAGACAGGCTTGCTTGTCAAATCAGATCAGGCACATGTTTAGGGAGACTCAGATCTCTGTTGGTTTCTTTCCTGAATAATATAAATAAAGTCTGTTATTCCCTCTGTCTGTATCTAGTGCCCTTCTAGTACCCTGACGTGTGCCAAAAGAGCAGCATTGCAGAAATGTTCCAGGCTTGTTTTTGCCTGAGTAGCTGGCCCAGAGCTCTCTGTCCTGTCCCATGCCATTTCCTCCTCTCTCATGAAATTACCCCATCCATCTTAAGCTGTGTTTTCTCTCCTCTCACTTTAAGGTAAAATCACCCTTTTGGACTTATGGCTGATTGAAGGTAAAAGTAGAATAAGTGTACTCTGAGTTAGAGCTGGCCTGGCTTAACATGCCTTGGAGTATCAGCCACCCATAGGGGGTTTCTTGGGAAAGATGGTGCCTTCCTCCTAACTCTCAACTTCTCATTGAACAGGCTGGACATCAACACCAACACCTATACATCTCAGGACCTCAAGAGTGCGCTGGCAAAGTTTAAGGAGGGGGCAGAGATGGAGAGTTCAAAGGAAGACAAGGTATGTGATTCTTTCCAGGGAGTTTGTATAAGTCTGCAGGATGGCCTTGAAGGGAATCACTTTCTTCTGAAGCTTTTGCAGTAAACATGGGATAATAATAACAATAGTATTGTAAAATAATTAAAGAGCAGTTAATGCCAAATAAATAACCCTTTATAGACTATTGAAAAAATGCTGGGAGCATTTCTTGGTTAGGTTAGAATCCAACTTCCCATTATATGTTTGGGGAAATTGAGGCACAAAGCACAGGTGGCCATATTCTACATTATCATAGACATGAGTGAAAAGAATAGAGGTTAAAACTTGGATCTCACTTACACTTGGATTACTATAAGTTTAAAGGACAGAGGTGCTAGACCAGGAAGGAAGAAGCCTGGGTTCTTGTCCTTTAAACATGTAGCAAGTGTATTTTTTTCCAGGCCTTGAGGTTTCTTAAACATACAACACAGGGCTGGGGCAAGGGTGTGGCTGAGGTTTCCACCAGTCCTAAACTAAGCTAAGGGAGTGGAGAGTAATAAGAAGCAGAATTGCAGATCTTCAGCTAGGCCCCTAATGTCTGGGAGGGCTTCTAGGCCTATACCAGAGAGAAATCTTACTGTTAGGGTATATCTCTTGAGTTCATGCAATAGCCAGAGAATGTAGCAAATAATTTTTTACATTTCCAATTGAGTCCTGTCCTTGAAAGAATCTCCTGAAGATGGCTGCCTTGGAGACCTTTTTAAGTTCTCCCTCCTTCTTCTTTCTCCTCCTTTGCTTTGTCTGTCTCCTTGCTTTGCTTTGTCTACCTGTCTGCCTTTGCACTAGAATCCTGGCAATATTTTGCAGGGGCAGCATGAGGTTCTTGACAGCTTGTATGTTAGTGGAGGAGGCCTAAGTTCCTCGTACTCTTTAGAGCTAAGTATTTCTGAGACAAACGAGCCCTTTTTTTTCTTTTTTTGATGTGGGGGAGGACCTAATTAGGATGTGTTAATACGCAGGCCAAGTCTCTGTGTCTGCTCATCTTACCAAAGTCACATCTCTCAGCACAGAGAATGTATGTGGTATGAGAAAGTGTTTAGCAGGTTGGAAGTAGCAGCAGCAATAGATGAAGGAAGGTGATGCATAAAATCCCATCCTACCACATGTGTATAAACTATGGGAGTGAGAAAAAGCAAATCCCCTACCTGGTGAAGGTAAGGCCAGTGGAGGAGAGCAGTGCATGCCCAGGTGCATGGAACAGAGAGATGAGTGTTCTGTGGTCAGGGTTTGGGCTCATTCCCACTCATTATCCCCTCACCGTGGGCTCAGTGTGGGGCTGACAGGAACATAAAAGCCAAGCTTTTTTCTTTGTCTTCTCTGTGGATGGAAGACTCACTGCATCTCTGTTGATGGTCCTTGTTCTCTTTAGTGATGTTCTTCTCCCATAATTCAGTTAGAGTAGAAAAGTATGAATGCTATAAAAATATTTTTTAAATGTAAAAGCAAGAGATTAAGTTTTTGGTTGTTTTGCAATTAAAAATAATCCTCTCCATTTGCAAGGGGAGATCCCAATACCAGCACCCAAGTGCATGATTGCCATCCCTGTATTGGCTCATTCGAGTCAACTGCCACTTCTGAGATACAGCTGCCACACTTTCTTCACTTCTGTGAAACTTAGGTTGGTAGCCTCTTCACTGAGGTGCTGAGTCCTGGAATCTTTCTCCTGCTTTCAATTGGAACCTATTTGGACTGACTCTGTTCACTGCCAATGCGTTGGGACAGGCAAATAAATTGACTTGAAGTATATAAATTGGAGGATTTCTATCTTTTTTTAAAGCATATTTTATTGATTATGCTATTAAAGTTGTCTTATTTTTTCCCTCTTTGCCCTCTTCTGCTTGGTTCTCCTCTTCCCTCTAGCAAATCCCCCTCTTAGTTCATATCTATGGATTATGTGTGTTAGTTCTTTGGCTTCTCCACTGCCTGTACTGTTCTTAACATCCCTCTGTGTATTCTGTACCTACCCAATTATACTTCTAAATCCCTATACCTTTTCCCCCCACTGTCCCCCTTCCCCCTTCCAGCTGATAACCCTCCAAATGATCTCCATATCTATGATTCTATTCCTGTTCTAGTTGTCTGCTTAGTTTGTCTTTGTTTTTGTTTTTTAGATTCAGTTGTTGATAGTTGTGAGTTTGTTGTCATTTTAATGTTCATAGTTTTGATCTTCTTTTTCTTAAATAAGTCTCAAATAAATATGGCCTTAAACTTTTGATTCTAGACAAGATGAATAGGTTCATTTCTCTATTCTTCCTTCTAAGGACAACTAAAAACCCTGGATGTAATACTAAAAGTAAACAGAAGAATATTGATCCTAAAAGGTGGGAAGGAGAAGGCAGACTGGCTAACTTGACATGGCAGTGAGTTCCTTGGGCTTCCCTCCTATTTGATATATTTTAGAGTGGGCACTGGAGAAGCCCATACCCTGGAAATGCCAATAGGTACAGATAGAAAACAGCTCTAACAAAGGCCTGCTCTTTCTAGAGAAAGGACTGGGCAAAGGGCAGCCTAGTAGGACAAAACAACTTTTGGATAATACCTGTCCTACTTTACCCCAAGACCATGGAAATCTTCCCATCTGTATCCTTAGTGCCAGTGAAAGTTGAATAGGGAACTTGGATTTTCACCTCCCATTAGGTGATAACAAACTGCATTCTCATTCTTCTACCGAGCTGGTATCAGCAAAAGATGAGTGGAGAGAGCCTTGCACTCCCTCCTGGTGGCAGTGAGAGGGTGTGAAGCTGTGCTCTTTACCTCGACCAAGGTGGTTTCAGTGAGAGTTGAGCAGAGTTGAGGCAGAATTTCTCCCCTTTATCCAATGGTAGGGAACTATTCTTTGCTTCCCTTACTGGTGTCCTACCAGTAGAGAGCAAGGGTTTTTCATCCTCCTCATGGCAGTAGCCTGATCTCCTGTTAGGGTGGGATCAGCAGAGGCCAAGAAAAGACCTGAATGTCTGTCCACTGCCTGTCAGTACTAAGGAGGTTTTTCACTTCTAGCTGAGGTGATGTGGGGAGGGAGGGAGTGAGAGGGGAACACTGAATGGAGAGTGTATTTTCACCCTTTATTGGTGGCAATGAGGCAGTACGATGCAGCATTCTGCTTTCCGCTCTGGGGCAGTGTCACTGGGAGTAAGTGAGGAGGCTGAGTTTCCACCCTAGATCAGCAGCATGAGGCAATGTTTCAGTCCCCCACCAGTTGCTGTCAGTAGAGGCCAGGGACGGACTTACACTCCCAATGTCCAGTGCCCAGTGGTGGTAGGTGATGTTCTTTTCCTCCCAATGAGAGAATGGTGGTAGGATTTTGGAGAGAAGGGAGCTAGAAAAAGGGATTTTGCAAATGATGTTTTGGGCATACTTCCTAGTGACTCACATGAAAAAGTGACCAGAGTTAACACAGCAAAAGATTTAAGAAGTGAACTATAGTGTGGAATACTGCCCAGGTGTTTAGATTAGCTTCTGAGCAGCACACAAAAGAAGCAAACCAAAATAACACTGCAAAGGCTCTGAAAACTTAATTGTTTTGTAGTCACAGTTATACAACAAGGCCAGAAACAGCATATTAAACCAAAACAATGTAACTGCCTCCTGAGAAGGAAGATTCAGTAGGAGTCAGAGGCTTAATAACAAAATGTCCAGGACACAATAAAAAATCACTCATCATACCAAGAACCAGGAATATCAAAACTTAAGTTAGGAAAGACAACAGATTCCAACAGTTAGGTGACTCAGAAATTGGAATTATCTTACAAGGATTTTAAAGCAACTATCATAAAAAAGCAATTATGAACACTCTTGACACAAATGACAACCTCAGCAAAGATAGAGAAGATATAAAAAAGAACCAAATGGAGTTTAGAACTGAAAAATAAAGCAAAAGAAAAATAAATAAATTACTGGATAGGCTTACTAATAGTGAAATAATGACAAGAGAGAAAAGCTTCAGTGAACTTGAAGACAGGTAAAACTTTCTTAAGAAGAGAAAATAAATTAGGGTCCTATAGGACTACAGGCATACCTCTTTTTATTGCGTTTTGAGGATAATGCGTTTCACCAACATTGATGCAAAACCTATCAACAAAAAAGATTACAACTTACTGAAGGCTCAGATAATGTTCAGCATATTTTAGCAATGAAGTATTTTTAATTAAGCTATATACACTTTTTCAGACATAATGCTATTGCACACTTGATAGACTACTGTATAATCTACATAACTTTTATATGTAGTAAACATATAACTTTTATGGGCATTGGGTAACCACAAAATTTGTGACTCACTTTATTGTGATATTTGCTTTATTGTGTGATTTGAAACCAAGCCTGCCATATCTCCTTGGTATTCCTGTATAACAAAAGATCTAACATTTGTGTCACTGGAGTTTCAGAAGGAGAGGAAGAAGAATCTGGGGCTGAAGAAAAAAATCAATGAAGTAAAGATGGAAAAATTCCCAGAGATGATGAAAGGCATAAACGCATAGATTCATGAAGCTGAACGAATTTTAAATCACATAAATGCAAAGAAATCAATACCATGACAACTTTACTTAAACTAAAGAAATCAATACCATGACAACTTTCTTTAAGAAGTCAACTTTCTTAAAACTAAACACAGAAAAACTCTTGAAAGCAGCTAGACAGAAACATTATCTGTAGGGAACAATGATTGAATGACAGAGGATTTTTCTTCTGAAACCACAGAGGCCAGATGAATATTTGGTACAACATTTTTCAAGTGCTGAAAAAGTACTAACTATCCACCCAGAATTATACAGCCAATGAAAATATCTTTCAGGAATGGAAGGGAAATTAAGACATTCTCACACAAAAGAAAATTAGAAGAATTTGTCTCCAGCAGACCTACCTAAAAGAATGACTAAAGAATATTGTTCAAATAGAAGGTAAATAATAAGGAAACCTGGAACATTAGGACTGAAAGAAAAACAAAATGAGTAAAAATAAGGGAAAAATAGAATGGGCTGTCCTCTTGGGTTTTAAAAATTGTGTTTTTATAGTTGAAGCAAAAAATTGTGACAATAATGTAATCCCATATACATTACATATGAATGCCATTACCAGAGTTACTACTATTGTTTCTTTGCTGCACTTTCATCTTTGTTTGGCCATTTCTCTCTTCTGATTGGCTCTCTTTATGAAATGTTAAGTGGGTTCATCATCTGGGGATGAGGAAACCATACAGCTATACAATTAACATCTGCGTATAACTGGGTAATGAGTGCACAGTGCTCAGTTATGGACAGACTTTGAAAGAAATGATGTGATCATCCAGTGATCATGATGGGCATTTATGTAGTGATTTATGGACTGAAAAGCTAGCAGCAAAGTTGGTGTTTTATGCAGTTACATTGAACAAACTATGGCGACTGAAATTTGTGTCACGTTGGGAGACTGGTGTTACTTAAACTGTGGTATTTGAAATTGGTGTATATCAGATTTGTGCAAAGCAAGGATTGCCTGTATCTGATAAAAGTCTTATATATAGAATATATAAAGAACTTTCAAAACTCAGCAGTAAAAACCAACAACCCATTTGGAAAGTGGGCAAAGGACACCAAAAGACATTTCGACAAAAAGGATGTGTGAATGGCAAATAAGGACATGAAAATATTTTTTTAAAGATTTTATTTATTTACTCTTAGAGGGAAAGGGAGGACGGAGGGAGAAAAACACTGACTGTTTGTCTCTTGCATGTCCCCACTTATGGCTGCTCCATGCATGGCCCCAACCAGGGACCTGGCCTGCAACTCAGGTGTGTGCCCTGACTGAAAACAACTGGCAACCTTTCAGTTTGCAGGCCAAAAAGCTCAGTCCGCTGAGCCACACCAGCAAGGGCTGAAAAAAATGTTTAATGTCATTTGCCATTAAAAAGATGCAAATTAAATCCACAATGAGATATCACTACATCTATTAGAATACCTATAAAATGATAGTAATACTAAATAATAGTGACAATGTGGAGAACTGGATCTTTCACGCATTGTTGTTGGTAATATAAAATGGGACAGCTCTCTGGAAACTGCAATAGTTGGGCAGTTTCTCATAAAACAAAACTATGTTTATCATACAACCTAGCATTTGCAGTTATGGGCATTTATCCCAGAAAAAAAAAGAACTCTGAAACAACTCAAATGTTCTTCAACAGGTGAATTGTTAAACAAAACTGTACATCTGTACGATGGAATACTACTCAGCATTAAAAAGAAATGAATTGTTGATACGTGAAGTAACTTGCGTAGATCTCAAGTGTATTATGTTCACTAAAAAAAAGTAAATCTCAAAAGGTTACAGACCATGTGATTCTATCTATATAACATTCTTCAAATGCCAGAATTATAGAGATGGAGAACAAATTAGTAGTTGCCCAGGCATAGGGACAGGAGGGAGTGGGTGGGATGATGAGGCTCACCTACAAAGGAGCATAATGAATGTTTGGTGGTGAGGGAACAGCTCTGTTGCTTCGTTGTTCTGATGGTTACATGAATCTATATATTGCATAAACTTATTTAGAATGATGCACACATACATGCAAATGTGTACATGTAAAAGCTGGTAAAACCTGAATAAGGCTTGTAGTTTAGTTAACAGTGTTACACCTATGTCATTTTCTTGGTTTTGATATTGTGCTGTTGTAATTTAAGATGTTACCGTTGGGGGAAGTGGAATAAAGGATACCCTCTGTACAATTTTTGTAACTTTCTGTGGGTTTTTAATTATTGCAAAATAAACAGCTTTCTTTGCCTTCTTCAAAAAAAGGCCTTCCTGAGGGCAGGTTACACATTATTTTTGTGAGGCAGAGGTGACTTCTTTCTTACTCTGCTCACTTGCCTGTCATCCACCAGCTCTTTGCCTGGCCAGAGTCTTCTGGTAGGTTGTAGGGAGAGCATTTCACTGTTATAAGCAGGATATGGTATCCTATTGATGTGATTACTCTGCTAGGAGCTTTATCTTTTAAAAGAGACTGAGCCCTGACTGGTATGGCTCAGTTGGTTGGGTGTTGTCCCACAGGTCTAAAGGTCGCTTTTAATTTCCAGTCAGGGCATAAACATGGGTTGTGGGTCTGCAAGAGGGATCGATGTTTCTCTCCCTCTCTTTGTCCCTTCCTTCCCTTCTCTCAAAAAATTTAAAAAAATCTTTAAAGGACAAAAGGAGAGAGAGGCTGATCAGGCCCTGGCTGGGTGGCTCAGTTGATTAGTGCGTCATCCCAATATGCCAAGGTTGCAGGTTCCATCTCTAGTCTGGGCACATACAAGAAGCAAGCAAGCAATGAGTGTGTAAATAAGTGGCACAACACATTGATGTTTCTCTTTACTCCTGCCTTCCTCTTGTTCTCTCTCTAAAAATCAATAAAAATTAAAAAAAGAAAAAAGATTTCTGCTGTCTGGAAGAGGGCTTCACCTCATGCTGGTACTCTGATCTCAGATTCTCACTGCCAGAACTCTAGGAAATAAATGTTTGTTATTTATAAGCTACGGGGGGGGGGGGGTGGAGAGGAAGAGAAACCATTTTTTTTGGTTGGTGTTTCTGTGGAGTACTTATAATGAGAGAAAACCTGAAGTAATAGATGAGCAATTTAGAACTGACAGCTGCTCATCATCCTACTTTTCATAAATACTCATGCCTTTTAATTTTTCTTGAAAGATAGAGACACAAACACTGTGACACAAGCCACTGCGACATTTCAGACTCTTTCTAAATACTGTATTCTAAAATTGGGAAGAAACAGGGAGTGTCACAGGTATCTAATTAAAATCTTTTATTCACCTCCAACATCACTTTATTTTTAAAATCTTTATATGAGTGCAGGATTGGGAGGGCTTGAGAAAAAATTGCTTGAGATTTGAATATAGTGCATACAGTAATTTAGCCACTTCAAACAGTTGAACAAATTGTACACCTGTAGTTAGATTGACAGTAATGACAGTGAATTAATTTTTATGAGCAAATTGCTCCCACCCTGACATCTCTAACCCACAGTCTTCTACGTCCAGGTTTCCCTACCATGTTGCTGGATTGGGCAGGGCAACACCAGGATATTTCATGATTGTAAAAGATAGAGAACCAAGGTGTGGGTTATTCCATCTTAGACCTCAACCTTTTCATGTGAGGTTAGGGGTTGAAGGTAAGCTTGCATTACTTTCCTTGAATTCAGTGATTGCAACAATAAGACTTCTCAGTCTTCCTGAACATTGGAAGTCAGACCAGGATAAGAGAGCCTTGGAAAACCTTGAGTGTGTTTTGGGGGCAGATTGCTATACAGGAAGACTCTGGGAACATCTTAGAAGATACCAGGATTTCTGATAGTACACAGTAACAAAAATTTTGAGTCCTGGAGAATCAGTTCTTTGAGGATGGGTATCCATGGTTGACCATGGGAGTACTGGAAGATGTCTCCAGTTGATTTAATTAATCATCTCTTTGCTCCTTAGGCAAGGCAGGCTGAGGTTAAACGGCTCTTTCGCCCCATCGAAGAGCTGAAGAAGGACTTTGAGGAACTGAATGTTGTCATTGAGACTGACATGCAGATCATGGTGCGGCTGATCAACAAGTTCAATAGTTCCAGCTCTACCCTGGAAGAGAAGATTGCTGCACTCTTTGATCTTGAATATTATGTCCATCAGGTATTGTATTTCATTGTCCATAAGTCTGAGTTTTGGCTGACAGCTTCAAAAATAACCCCCACACCCTAAACTCTAGGAAAATATATTAGCATCTTTATCTCTCTCAGCATTCACAGTATTTTTAATCCAGGCCAATATCCATTGTAGTAAAGATATGTTCTTAGAGGCCAGAGCTGACCTCTTTTTCATTTGGAGTATTATCTCCTTTTTTTAAAAAAAAACAAAACACTGATGATATAGCAGAGATAAAATAGATGTGGTCCTTGTTCCATGTAGATCACAATTGGTAAGAGGGAACAATGAAATAAAAATCAATTGAACAATAATCAAGTTAACAATTTAATAATGAGATAATTTAAGATTGTGTTGAGGGCTCCAGAGAATAATGTAGGAATGTATAACAGGGGAACTTAGTCTAGTCAGGGGCATTGGGGGGAGGCTTCCCTGAGGATGTGACATTTAAGATGAGCATTAAAGGATGCTAGCCAAAGAGGAGAGACTAGAGTAGGGGATGGCAAACTATGGCCCATGGGCCAAATCTGGCCCGTTGTTGGTTTTTATAAATAAAGTTTTGTTGGGACACAGTCATACCTATTGTTTATGTATTTCTTTATCATTTTGGGCTGTTTTCAAACTATAATGGCAGAGTTGAGTAGTTGTGACAGAATCCATATGGCACAGAAAGCCAAAAATATGTGTTATCAGTCCCTTTAGAAAAAGTTTGCCAACCCTTGGACCAGCATTCTAGGCAGAATAAACAGCATGTGCAAAGATTCTGAGTCAGAGAAGAGCTTGGTGAGATTGAAGACCTGGAAAAGGATAGAGTAACTGGAGCATAGTGACCAGGGAATGGGTTAGCAGAGATAAAGAGGAAAGGTTAGGGAGTCAAGAGGTGGGGTTGGGACTACCATGTTCTCTCTGATTTTATCCTTGGGCCTAAGAACCATTGGAGAGACTGATCAGACTTGCGCTTTAATTATAATAGTTAATATTTATTGAGCATTATCATATAATGGACTCATATTCAAGTGCTTTGCACATACTAATTTTTTTTTCTTTGATATTTTATTTTATTTTATTTTTTAATTTATTTATTTTTTTGAATTGATTATGCTGTTACGGTTGTTCTATTCCCCCCTTCATTCCCCTCCACCCTGCCCCCCCCAACCCCACCATTACCCCCCTTTAGTTTATGTCCATGTGTCTCAAGTCCTTTAGGTTCTATATTTCCCATACTATTCTCGCCCCCCCATCTATTTTCTATCTACTGTCTATGCTACTTGTTTTCTGTACCTTTTCCCCCCATCTCCTCCTCCCACTCCCCTGTTGCTAACCCTCCTTGAGATCTTCATTTCTATGTTTCCACTCCTGCTCTAGCTGTCCTTTTAGTTTGCTTTCGTTTTAGGTGTGGTTGTTAATAACTGTGAGTTTGTTGTCCTTTCACTGTTCATGTTTCTTTAACTTCTTTTTCTTAGATAAGTCCCTTTAACATTTCATATAATAAGGGCTTGGTGATGATGAACTCCTTGAATTCGATCTTATCTGAGAAGCACCTTATCTGTCCTTCCGTTCTAAATGAAAGTTTTGCTGGGTAGAGCAATCTTGGTTGTAGGTCTTTAGATTTCATGACTTGGAATATTTCTTTCCAGCCCCTTCTTGCCTGTAAGGTCTCTTTTGAGAAATCTGCTGACAGCCTGATGGGGACTCCTTTGTAGGTGACTGTCCCCTTAGCTCTTGCTGCTTCCAGGATTCTTTCCTTCATTTTAATTTTGGCTAATGTAATTATGATATGCCTTGGTGTGTTTCTTCTTGAGTCCAACTTTTTTGGTACTCTCTGGGCTTCTTGGATTTCTTGGAAGTCTATTTCCTTTGCCAGATTGGGGAAATTTTCTTTTATTATTTGTTCAAATAGTTTTTCCACTGGTGGTTGTGTCTTTCCCCCTTCTGGTACCCCTATAATTCGGATATTGGAGCATTTAAAGATGTCCTGGAGGTTCCTAAGCTTCTCCTCATTTTTCTGAATTCTTATTTCTTCATTCCTTTCTGTTTGATCATTTTTTTCTTCCTTCTGGTCCACTTCATTGATTTGAGTCCCAGTTTCCTTTTCATCTCTATGGGTTTCCTGTGGAATTCCATTCATTTCCCTTAATTTAGCCTTCATATGTTTCTCTAATTTGTGGCTATAATCCACCAGATCTGTGAGGAAGGTGATGACCAGTGTTTTAAACTGTGCGTCTGAGAGTTTTGCTATTTCTTCGTCATTTAGATTTATCTCTGGGGCTTTGAATTCTGCCTGCGACATTTTTGGTCTGTTCTGGCCCTTTAAGTGGGAAAAGCGGCGCCTTGGAGTCCCAGGTCGCTGGGTTGTGACGCTGTATGTGGGGGCGTGGTCAGAGCGGGGAAATGGCGCGCCACCGCCGCAGCGGGGCCGGTCCAACCGCTCACTCCCTCACTCGCGCGCAACCAGGCAACCACAGTCAACTCGCTGCCACCGCCTCCCCACTGTGTCCTCTGTAGTCGCTCACCCGGTGGGCTGCTCGGTCGCTCACTAGGTCCAATCCTGGGTTTGGAACCCGAGCGACTGGATTCGCGCGTCTGGATTCCGCGCCCGGGTCCGACTGAGCCCTCCTTTGTAAGTCCTCACCAGACTCCGGTTTCGCCCCTTACCGGTCGGGCTGAAGAATTTGTTGTTAGCGGACTTCCGAAAAGTTCAGTTTTCCGTGTTCTGGTTGTGTTTTCTGGTGCTAATATTTGGTTGTCCCTAAACTTGGTTGTGTGAGGAGGCACGGCACATCCAGCTAAACCTCCATCTTGGCGGAAGTCCGAATAAATAAAATCTTGATGAAGAAAGCCGGGACGCGATGCTCGCACATACTAATTTATTGGCTTCCACAACTGACTTATAAGTAGGCACTGCACTGTTATTAATTCCATTTTATAACTGAGGCAGATAAGATCACAGTTGTGACTGCCTAAGGTCACCCAGCTAATGAGTGGTAGAGCTGGGATTTGCAACAAAGCCTGTGTGACTCAAAACTCTGCTTTAACCTTTTGGCCACTCTGCCTCTCATAGGATACTGGTACCATTTGAATGAATTTCAAAAGGGAATAAGTGAATCTAAGGGAAAGGAGCCAAAAGAAGCCATTTATTTATTCAATAGATTAATTTATTGGGTGCCTTTTAAGTCCCAGGCACCGTTCCAGGCACTTGGGATGCATCTGTGAACAAAATTGGAGCTTACCTTCTAGCAGAGGCAGATAGACAATAAATATAACTAATAAGTAAATTATAAATAATATGTTTGAAGGTAATAAATTCTGTGGATAAATAAAAAGAGCACGGAAGGAATGATCCTCTCAGGCAGGAGAAATAGCAAGGACCCTTAGCCCCAAGGTGGGAGCTGTGTAAGGTGTTTGAGGAACTGCAAGGAAGTCAGTGCTGCTGGACCTGAGAGGAGAGGGAGAGAAGTAGGTGACTCAGAGCGATGATGGGAGGAAGATCATGGAGCTCCTTGTAGGCCACGGAAAAGAACCAAATTGAAAATTACTAGAGGATGTCGAGCAGAAGGATGACATGATGTGACTTATTTTTAAAGGATCCCTCTGGCTGCTGTGTTGAGATGTAGACTGAAGGTTGGGGGTTGGCATGGGAAGAAGCAGGGAAACCGGATAGGAGGCTATTGCAGTAATCCAGACTAGGATGATGCTGGCCCAGGAAAGCTGCGTAATCATAATCAAAGGCTTTTTGAGATCCTCACCAAGACACAGATCTTCACCATCCTCCAATGCATGACAGTGTGCTTGTTCTCTATAAACTAGGCTGAAAGACTTTCTTTCTTTAGGATTTGCCAGCCTTTGTGGTAAGAGAGGGTGAATATATACTGTATCTGCAGGAATGATGGTACAGCCTCTTCATCTTCTTTCTCTGCTTATAACTCTTTCTCAGGCTTCAAATAGCAGGTCTGTGATCCTCTTAGAGGAAAAAAATGGACCTGGGTTCTCTTTTCTCTTTCCAGGCTTTCTCTCCAGGGTAAAAAACAAAAATTCCAGTAGCTTTTCTGTTACAGATATTTATTTAAAGGACTAAGGATCCTAGGGGTTATTAGTGAAGTCAGTCTTGCTCTGATGTTGACAGCTTTTATTTTCTTATTATCTTAACATACTTGGATAGATCTTTAGTTACCAGGTTCCTGTAATCTCTTCCTTTAGTTGCACCATAAAAGGCCAAAATGACTAGAAAGCTGAAAATACCTGGAGGGGAGTGAGTACACAGGATGCTAGCAGAGCCCCCCCCTCCCCCGATTTTTTTTTCCTGCAAGCTGTGTGGTTACCTGGATGTGTCATGTCTAGGGTGACATCCTGCTTTGCTTTTATAGGTCACTGGTTGGGGTAAATAGTTTCTTAGACATCACCAGACTCAGCCTAAGGTCAGCCCAGTAACCCATCCCCTGGTAGAGGCCATATTTGTCTTGTTGACAGAAGAGTCATAAATGTTTTGGGTCATTAATTAGCCTTTTGGTTGGAAATATAAGGTTCTCAGTTGGTGCTGGTATGTCAGGTTTCCATGCAACAGTGTTAAGTTGTGATTTCACAGGGGGATCAATGAAAATACAACTTGGCCTTAAGTTCCCGTTGCAATGGGGAATTGGGTGATGTAGTGCTGGCTTTGAGGAAGATAGGACTTTTCTTGCCAGGAACTTCACTGGTCCACTCCTAAACTCACTGATTAGAGGTTTTGAGAACCATGGGCTTCAAGGACTCAAACTGGATCTGCCCAAGCATTCCTCACAGCCATATTTGAATTATTAAACAGGATTTGTGAAAAGCAAAACCATGTGTGTGGAAAATACTTTGTGAGTTATTTATGAGGAGCAGCCTCTGTTTGCCCATCCACCCTGGGGCCATGTGTTTGCCTTCCCTCACATGACTTCTCAATTATTTACTATTATTTCTCCCTTTCTCTATTTCCTTGGCTTTCATTGTCTTGTCAGTGTTGTGGTTCTCTTTTTTCCTCCTGACTATTGGCACAATTCCCTTCTGCCCCATTCTTTATGCACTCTCTTCCTCTACCTTGAGCTCCTCTCCTGTCCACCTGTCTCACTCCATTCTGAAGGCATCCTGGGAAAAGTTTTGGCCCTGGACCCAGATTTTGAAGCTTGAGTCTTCTGCAGTGGGCAGAATGACTCCTTTCTCCCTCATCTCTAGTGAAATATCAAATGAGAAAACATCTTGAGAAGGCTGAAGTGCTTGTGAATGTCAGCATTTATAGCTCCATGAATTATCTTTGTAGTAATAATGATAAACAATCTAGGACAGAGCCTTTGTGACTCTGGACTGTGTTGTTTTGGGGCGTTCAGAGTGGCAGCTGTTTTTTAGGGATTCACATGAGCTTTGCTATGTAGCCATCCCAGGCACAGAAGGACAGGACTCTGAGCCATGGTTTTGTACCCAGAAAACCTGGAGAAAGGAGGATCAAAGGAGAGGCAGTGAATTCTTAGATTTTAAAATCAGAGTATGTGAGGAAGGAAGGCTCAGTATTATTTGTGCTTATGTCAGTAGAGCACCCAGTTCTGAGTCTCCCTAGTTAGCTGTGCTATAGATCAATAATCATTCCTCTTCATAAGGACAGTTTAGGGCAGAAAATGCCAGCCCTGGCTTGGGGCCTCTGTGGCAGAGCAAACTCTACACGTACTTCATGTCCCTGGATTGGCCATTTCTTCACGTCTGTGGTACTAGGACCCGTCCATTTGTATTGGAACAAATACCCCAGATTGCCTTAAAAAAAGAAAACAACTCACAGTTGAGTTTATTGTAGTAAGATTTTTTCCCTGACCAAATTCATTAATTTATTTAATGATTATTTATTGAGCATGTAACTATATGCTTAGTGCTGTTGTAATCACTAGACCTGCAACACAGTGGACAGAGACGAACCCCCCCCCCCCCCCGCTATTGTAGAAATAACATCAGAATGTATAAGAACAATCTTCTAAGTGGTAAAAACAGGCTAGGCAGAGTGAAATACGGTTCTAAAGAACTTGATTTCTCTGTGAGAGCCCTCTTCAGTTAGGAAGGACACAGGTAGGCAAGGGCTGTGTGATGTCTGGAGGAAAAAGGTGAGTAGCATTCACAGTGTTGTTGGGCTCTACCTTCCTGGGTTTTCCCAATGATCTGTAGAGTGGGATCTGCATGCTGGCAAGAGGCAGCTTTCGTAGCAACAAAGATATTTTCAAGGGAGACTTGTAGCTACTGCATGAAGAAAACAGGCTCCAGTGACTTTTTTGAGGAAGTTCTTCTTGTTCCAGGATACTGATGGAGCTTGGGGAATGAGGTATCCCCTCTTTCATAGAATAACAGATTGTCTGGGCTTGAGGCTTTGAACCTTAAATGATAGCCTAGACCAGTGCTGTCCAATAGAACTTTATGTGATGATGGCAATGTTCTCCACTGTCCAGTAATGACCACTAGCCAGAAATACAGGTGTAGACTAAAGCCTTTGAGAAAAGACTTTTGTGCAGATTTTATCATGAATGTCCTCAGATTCAGTCCATGTTGGACTGCACGAAGTGAGGCAGAGGGAAGAAAGGGTACTATTGTTACTTTTTTCCTGTTATTCTTCCAGATTATTTAAAATTTTAGTTTGTTTTTACAAACCCTTTCCTAGTTAGTCAGAAAGGCAGCCATTGCTTTTTGACTGACTTTTTAATTTGTTTTTTGAAGTCACTAAAAGAAAGGCTATGAGAAGAGCTCTTCTTACCTTGATGGCAGTACTGTACTGAGCAGTGCCTTCGTTGCAGATGGATAATGCACAGGACCTGCTTTCCTTCGGCGGCCTTCAAGTGGTGATCAATGGGCTGAACAGCACAGAGCCCCTGGTGAAGGAGTATGCTGCATTTGTGCTGGGGGCCGCCTTTTCCAGGTGAGCAACAAGGACAGTCTGCTCATCAACCAGGATTGTTTGGGCTCTTCAGGTGAACTTTAGCTTTACATCAGATTGAATCACCTGGAAAAAGGTTACACTTGAACTCATGCACATCCCTTTCCCTGTTTCACTGTTATTTTAATGAGTGAGAATTTAATTCTGCTCTTATTCCAAGTAGATAAGAATTTTCACCCCTGTTGTCACCATTTATACCTCTCTGTTCCCCCTTGTATATATGGACATTTAATGACATATTTTAGATCACATTCTCTGTTTTATTCAAAGCTAATACAAAGCTATACCAAACATAGGTGGTCGAGAGAAAGGGGGATGAACTGCAAGAGTTGATCCTTTTGGAAATGAAGCTACATACATTTTGTGATGTATAAATTATGGACCTGACCAAGGAGGGTCTTTTGGGGTGAGATGTGTCTTTCCACTAGTTGTCTGGAACCAATCAACATGCAGTCAGGTTATCAGACTCTGGGTTGAGAGTTGTTAAAATTTCTATTAGTCTCACTTGTATTAGAAGTCTGATGTCTCCAAAGAATGGATGCATCGAGTTATGTGGGCACCACTTCATTATACTCATAATAAAAAAAGTCAGGATGTCTTCAAACTGCAGTTGGTCTATTAGAGCTATAGTTCCTTCCAGTTTTGAAAATACGCTCCTAAGACCATTGTTTCTCTAAAATAGGAACCAATACTCTGATTCTTGCTATAAGGCAAACGGTGGTAACTATTAGGGGTTATCTTGCTTGGATGCAGGGATTGGTGATTTTATAGGAGGAAGGATATTCTGAACATCTCCACCTTTGGCACCTTTGTTTTAAAAAGATTTCCTTTGCCTTTCATCCATGCTTATCTTTTTAAATTAGAATCTCAGCCTGATGTCCTCTCATTCTGAAAAGCTTCAGTATCATAGTAAATTAAGGGGCAAAGCAGAGAAGCCCAGAATTGTTCTATGGGGAGAGACTGAGTGCACTGTAGGCCTTTGTTTCCCTTATCATTAACCTATGGGGGCGACTTTTCCTGCAAGTTCCTCCGTGTGTCACGGATGAAAGTAAACACTACTAAGACATGATCTGCTTGGGGAGGAGAGGTGGCTGATCCCTCAAAAGGAAAGGGCCTCGAGCCCCTTCCTCCAGGGGCTTTTATTGGGTTGTAATACACAGGAACACAGGGTGGCAAGGACCAAACAGTAGATAACATTTCAAAGAAATCTTCGGGCTTAGTCTGAGTCAGTGTCTGTCAGGAAGGGAGTTTGCAAAAACTTTCATGTTTCCTGCTCAGACCCTTATCATATGAATGAAAACACTCTTAGCAGAGCAGGTTTCACAGGATTTTGAGGAATTCTTTGTGATGCCAGATTTTTCCCCAGGATCTGCTCTGGCAAGGCAAGGAGCTGCACCCCTCCCCATCAGGTATTCAGGCTTAAATGGATTAGAGCCAGGAAACGCTTCTCCCAGAAAACATGGGGACTCGGGCTATGTCACATAGCGGGGGGGGGGGGGGGGGGGGCAAGAGTCCATTGCTTGCTCTTTGTTGCAGCGCCCCCCCCCCCCCCCCGCCTGAGTCCTCCCATGATGGCCTCCCAAGTGATCATGTCTGGCTTAGGTTGCTACTCGCTATGAGGAGACTTACCTGTCATCAACATTGACCATGCTTTGGGGGCAGGGAGGAAACTGAGGCAGCATTCACTACCAGAGACAAGCTTTGTCTCCTGTGGCTCCCATTCCGGAGGTCACTTGCTCATCCTTAGCCATGGGGGGTAGTTATAATTCCCGAAACCAGGCAGAGTAGTCCACAACACTAACCCACCTTCATCTTGAAGCCCTGGTTGTCCTGTGGTTGTGTTGTCGATAGTCAAGTTTGTGGCCTCCAATGTACTCCTCACCTACCAGAGCCAGATAGTCTCCCAGGATGCTTGTACATCCGCTGGAAAGATGGAGAATCTGAGTTTGTCATTGGTAGCTGTGATCTCAGCCCTGGAGAAGTCCCAGGTCTTATCCTCATAAGGCTTTAGGGGTTTGAGAACTTAATGAGCCAACTTTGTTTCTCAAGCAATAAAAGAACTAAATCAGACATTATCAACTTCTCTCTCTAGTCCCTTTTTGGGTATCTTTTCCATAATCCCAAGTATTTTCTTTCCACTTTCAATCTGAACAAATGATTCTACTTGTTCCTTGCCATTGCTTTTGGAAACACGCTTTTTGGGGGAAATTGTGTAGCATCTTTATGTCACTTCTTAGCCAAAGGGGACTAACTAAGTGACTTCAGAAGTATTCATCGGGGCTGCTTAGCAGGCCATAACCCACCTGGGAGCTCTGCCAATATGTGATACTGTTAAGACTTTTCTGTGATTGTAATAGGGTAAGACCATGTTAACATTTATGTAATATCTTTCACTATATTTTAGTGAAAATTTTAAATAGAGATAAATATAAAATATTGCAGTTTATTGTTTTGGTGACAAGCATACTGCTGTATTCAAAATGTTCTAGCTGGGCTTTTGATGGCTCACGGGAGGGCTGTTGCAATGACAACATGGTGTCATGCCAGAACTTTCGGAAGCCAGCAGCAGGCTTTTAAACATCATGAAAATGTCAATGTTTCATGCAAAGAGGAACTTAATGCAAGGTAAGAATATTTCTATGCAGAGAGGCAGTTTTCAATGCTCTAGTCTGGTATTCATTATTTCCTCTTGATGTCCTAAGTATTGGTGCTGCAGCTCCTTCCCTGCCCCCAGCCTAGAAGTGTGCACAAACACACCACACACGTGTGCCCACACATGAACACACACATGCACACACACACAGCAATTGGATGAGCGTGCTCTTTGTCAGAAGTCTATTTAAGGGATAGTGAATATATGCAGGATTTGGAGGTGTTATTTAGAGGTCATTCCTTCCAGTTTTATGCTGATGTGCAAGAATACTGCTCAATCAGTCCTGGCTGGGTGGCTCAGTTGGTTGGAGCATTGTCCCATGCACCAAGAGTTTGTAGGTTCAATCCTTGGTCAGGGCATGCATGGGAGACAAATGATTGATGCTTCTCTCTCACATCGATATTTCTCTCTGTCTCTGTCTTCCTCTCTCTCTAAAATGAATAAACATATCTTTGGGTGAGGGTTAACAAAATAAAAAAGAATACTGCTCAATCAGTCTAAATGTTTGAGCATTTGGGAGAACTAGACAAATCACTATACCTAAAGTCAGAAAATCTAGTTCATCTTATCTCTACTATTTTCTGGATGTTTTCTATTGGCAAGTGATTTGACCTTTTTAAACCTTCCCTTTTTCATTTATTAACTAGGAACAATAATAGGTGTCCTCTGCATTCATAAGGTTAAGTGAATATGAAATAATATACAGTAAGTCCTGTGAAAATGCTTTAAAAGCACCTGTCAGTGATAAGGGGCATATAACATCATCATACTATTGTGTGTCCTTTTTACTATGAGGTAATTCTTATTTCTTTTTTTTAAATTACGTTTTATTGATTATGCTGTTACAGTTGTCCCACTTTTTCCTCCTATGCCTTCCTCCACACACCCCCCACTCCCTCAGGCAACCCCCACACCTTCGTTCATGTCCGTGGGCCATGCCTGTAAGATCTTTGACTACCCCATTTCCAGTAATGTACTCTACATTTCCATGTCTGTTCTGTAATTACCTATTCGTACTTCTTAACTCCCTCACCTCTTCACCTCCCTCTCATCTCACGCTCTCTGTATCCATGATTCTGTCTCTGTTCTTCTGGTTTGCTGAGTTTGTTTTTTAGATTCAATTATTGATAGGTATGTATTTATTGCCATTTTAGTATTTATAGTTTTTATCTTATTTTTCTTAAACAAGTCCTTTTAACATTTCATATAGTAATGGCTTGTTGATGATGAATTCCTTTAGTTTTCTCTTGTATGGGTAACTTTATCTGCCCTTTGGTTCCAAATGATAGTTTTGCTGGATAGAGCAATCTTGGCTGTAGGTCCCTGCTTTTTATAACTTTGAATATTTCTTGCCAGTCCTTTCTAGCCTGCAAAGTTTCTTTTGAGAAATCAGCTGACAGTCTTTTTTTTTTGCATTTTTTAAATTAATTTTCTTATTGATTATGCCATTACAGTTGTTCTATTCCCCCCTTCATTCCCCTCCACCCTACCCCCCCATCCCCACCATTACCGCCCCCTTTAGTTTATGACCATGTGTCTCAAGTTCTTTAGATTCTATATTTCCCATACTATTCTTGCCCCCCCATCTATTTTCTATCTACTGTCTATGCTACTTATTTTCTGTACCCTCTCCCCCCTTCTCCTCCTCCAACTCCCCTGTTGCTAACCCTCCTTGAGATCTTCATTTCTATGTTTCCACTCCTGATCTAGCTGTCCTTTTAGTTTGCTTTTGTTTTAGGTGTGTTTGTTAATAATTGTGAGTTTGCTATCCTTTCACTGTTCATACTTTTTATCTTCTTTTTCTTAGATAAGTCCCTTTAACATTTCATATAATAAGGGCTTGGTGATGATGAACTCCTTGAATTTGATCTTATCTGAGAAGCACTTTATCTGCCCTTCCATTCTAAATAAAAGTTTTGCTGGATAGAGCAATCTTGGTTGTAGGTCTTTGGATTTCATGACTTGGAATACCTCTTTCCAGCCCCTTCTTGCCTGTAAGGTTTCTTTGGAGAAATCTGCTGACAGTCTGATGGGGACTCCTTTGTAGGTGACTGTCCCCTTATCTCTTGCTGCTTCTAGGATTCTCTCCTTCACTTTAATCTTGGCTAATGTAATGATGATGTGCCTTGGTGTGTTTCTTCTTGGGTCCAAGTTCTTTGGGACTCTCTGAGCTTCCTGGATTTCCTGGAAGTCTGTTTCCTTTGCCAGATTGGGGAAATTTTCCTTTATTATTTGTTCAAATAAGTTTTCCACTGGTGGCTGTTCCTCTTCCCCTTCTGGTACCCCTATAATTCGGATGTTGGAGCGTTTAAAGATGTCCTGGAGGTTC